CCCCAAAACCCCAAAACCCCAAAACCCCAAAACCCCAATAAACAGAGTCTAGATTGAAATAATAATTAATATGGAAGACGCTGAAAAGAAAGATTTGCAGAACACTGTTTTGAAGAAATTAGAGGAGGTTGAGACCATTGAAAATTCTGAAAGCCTTGAAACTGAATTTAATATTGACCATGACAAACTTGAGTCTATTTTAAAGAGCTTGGTAGTCGATTTTTATATCGAGTTGCAACCAATTAAGAGACAAGAAATCAGATTAACTGAAGAAGGACAAGAATGTGCAGAGAAAGGAACTCCAGAGTTCAGGATCTTCAATCTACTTGAACCTGGAGTTGAAACTGAGAAGGTTGATTTCCATAATACCCACGGAATTGAGATTACAAAACAAATCATTAGCAAGCTGAAACTAAACAAATGGGCAAATCTTGGAAAATCCTCAGTAACACGACTTGAAGGAGTTGAAGCTGTTGACAGCGATAGAGCTATACTTGAGGAGATGCTGGCTGATCCAACCCCAACCAAGTATGACAACAAGAAAGTAAAAGAGTTAAAGAACAGAAAGCTTATCAAGTTTGCCAGCATCACCTCCTACACAATTACAAAGGGAGTGGACTTTGCACCAGAAGTTGTTGAGAGAGAAGCTGAGCTCACTATTGATCTTCTCAGAAATGACGAGTACAAGAACAAAATCTTCAAGAAATTCAACGTCCTCGCGAAGGGAATTGAAATTGATGGAGGCCATTTACATCCATTACTCAAGGTCAGAACTCTCGTCAGAGATATTTTCTTCGAGATGGGATTCGAAGAAATGGAGACCGGACAATATGTAGAGAGCTCATTCTGGAACTTCGATGCTTTATTCCAGCCTCAACAGCATCCAGCTAGAGATGCTCATGATACTTTCTTCATTGATGAGCCAAAATACACTAAAGAAGTACCCGCTGACTATATGGAAAGAGTAAAGAACACTCATGAGAAGGGAGGATATGGCTCTATCGGATACGACTACGATTGGAGTGAAGATGAAGCCAAAAAAAATATTTTGAGAACCCATACTACTGGGGTATCTTCAAAGGTTTTGTATAAGCTTGGCCAGCAAGAGAAATTTGAGCCTAAGAAGTACTTCTCTATTGATAGAGTTTTCAGGAATGAAACTTTGGATGCCACTCATTTAGCAGAATTCCATCAAGTTGAAGGAGTTGTGGCTGATTATAATATTGGGTTATCCAATTTGATTGAAATGTTCAAGGTCTTCTTCAAGAAAATTGGTATTGATAAGCTTAAGTTCAAGCCAGCTTATAACCCATACACGGAGCCTTCTCTTGAGATTTTCGGATATCATCCAAAACTTGGCAAATATGTTGAAATCGGAAACTCCGGTGTCTTCAGACCAGAGATGCTCAGACCGATGGGACTTCCAGAGAACGTCAACGTCCTTGGATGGGGTCTTGGACTTGAAAGACCAACAATGATCTATTATGGAATTGACAATATCAGAGAACTCTTCGGCCACCAGGCTGATATGAAGAAGACCAAATCCAACTCAGTTTGCTATATGTCTACCAAAGACAAATAAGTAAAAATAGTGGCTTCTTCAATCGAGAAAATTACTGTGGGGTTTTGGGGTTTTGGGGTTTTGGGGTTTTGGGGTTTTGGGGTTTTGGGG